CACTTGGCCTTGTTGAACCTCATGAGTTTCACACAGGCCCACCTCTCCAGCCTGTCCAGGTCTCTCTGGATGACAGCCCGTCCTTCTGGTGTGTCAACCGCATCACTCAGCTTGGTGTCATCTGCCCTCTGGCCACCCAAGCCTTGACTTTAAAGGTCTTTTCCAACCAAATGATTCCATGATGCTATGACAAGCCATCACAAACATCTCTAACCACCCCAAATCACTTTTATTGCTGCAGCTGAGGGTGTCCAGCCCAGCACCCCAATTAGCAGACTCGCCCCGGGCAGAGCTGCAAGCCGGGACACAGCAGTGCTGTGGTTCCCTTAGCTGGAAACCATCGGTCTTTGCTTCTCCTCTGCTGCTCTTGGCTGCTGGTCTGCAGCGCAGATGCCAAAGCGAAGCTTGAAGGATCCATTCAAGCTCCTCACCAAAAGGCAGTGGCAGCCGAGCCCCCAGCACCATCCTGGCACGCACAGGGGCCAAGCAGCCCCGAAACACCTCCCGAAACATCTGCAGAAGTAGATGGAGCACTGCTGAAACACGGATGGAGTGGCTGGGTATCTCTCTGAAAGCACAGGGGGTACCTTGGGGGTGGAAAGAAATAGCGAGAAATATTTTTTAGTGAGAATAAAGGGAAAGTAAAACTTGGTTGGGGCATGGAGGAGCACAGCCCGCAGCCCACGCTCAGGGAGCAGGGAGGTTAAACTCCCCTGGAGGGACCTTGCATGTGCAAAACCAGTTGAGACCATCTGATTTCACAGCTGTGGGCATGTTCTGTGGCACAGCCCAGCCCGGGGTCCCAGCACCCTTCTGGATGGATGCCCACAGCCCCGGCAGCCCTCAGCCCCCTGCTCAGCCCTCCAAGGAGCAAGGGAGCCATCAGAGAAGTGCGTTGCGCTCTACCAATGCAGGTTATGGATGACAAGGTGGCCATGAGCCAGCAGGGTGCCCTTGGTGCCAAGAAGGCCAAGGGCATCCTGGGGTACATCAAGAGAAGCGTGGCCAGCAGGGCAAGGGAGGTTCTCCTCCCCCTCTGCTCT